TAGTAAAATGCCGATCTTTGCTGCGCGATAACTCCTGATCGGATGGTCCGATTTGGACGAAATTTAGTTTGTTGGAATCGTCACGCAGAGGAGAATCGGAATCCAGTATCAGTTTTATGATAGCTAGCCTGCTTAACATAGTTTTCTAAGCTCAAAAGTCATTAAATGCTATTTTTAATGTAGATCTTTACATTATACAAAATTGCATTATTAATTGGCTAATAAATTTTTATAGGACGTTTTCCAAAATGTAAGGATTAAAATGAATCAGAAATTATGTTTCTAGCATTTGTAGTTAATAAGTTATAAGCGTTTAAAGCTAAAAATAAGTTGTTGAGTTTCTTTTGTCAGCCACTATATAATTAACTTACATTTTGAATCTATTTGCAAATAAAAGTTTAAATCTACATCTAATGATCTTTTTTAAAATATAATTAATAATTATAGCATGATTCTTTAGAATTAAATGAATCAGTTAAAATTAGAATCTTTTGAGTTATACCCCCTATTATTTCTCTTTGATTATTTTTTATATGAAATCTTTAAAAATCAATTTCATTATCATCTTAAAATTAAATTGATTAACTGTTAACTGATAATGCTTATTATTTTGACAAGCTAAAAGAAGAACATTATGAAAAAATATTTTTTTAATGAGTGTATCAAAAGTTAATATTAATATTACTAGATTTTAATAAAATATTTGCAATATTTTGTTAAATTAAAGTAGATCCTTTTATTTTTCTAAGTCTTTTATCTTGTAATTCTTTCATTTTATTATCAAAAACTTTTGTTAATATAGAAAATTGATAATAATCATGTAAATTGATTCTATAAATAATTAAAAATTCTATTAAATATTGATTAATCTCATCAATAGCTTGTTTTATTGATAATACTCTATATTCAGTTTCATCTTTTTTTATAGTAGCAATAAAACCTACCATTGATTTTTTAATATAGATATATTTAAAATAAAATTTAATGGAATCTTGTATGATTATCTTATGAATAAGATTCAATCATATTTTTTCAAAATTTTCAAAGAGTTCAAACCAGTTTTTTTATTATCCTTTCTGTATTTTGAATTCATGACTGTTTTATAAATAAAATTGTCTTTTTGATATCAGTATTTTTGTATATTTTAGGTTATGAACTTAAATTATTTAAAAGTATATGAGCAGTATTAAATTTTACAGTTTTCTTTGATTTCATTTTTTGAGAAATAAAATTAAAAAAAATTTAAAAAAATTATAAAAAAAAATTATTTATGATGAAAAAACATTATTTTTATATCATAATAATATGTAAATTACATAATTCATATGATTTTTCTTATTACAGACATTAGTAATCATAAATATAATAGTTATTTACTATTTAATTATTAAAATCATCAGAATTATAGCTAAACTATGATACCTGATGATATCTCTGATTTCATGATAAATAACTAATTTTTTTTAAAAATGATAGGTTTGTCTTATATTCATATTATCTAATATTTAGATAGTAATCATAATCTTATTTTTGATAATATTAATAAAGATTAGTAGATTTAAGAATATTCATAATGTTACAAAATAAAAATATCTTTTTTAATAAAATACTTTACAATCTCTTTTATAGAATTTACAAAAAAAATATTAAGTATGATCAAAATTTCAATAAATAATAGTATAGATAAAATTGGATAACATGATTAATACTTTAATAATAGTATTGCAAAATCCTAAAATTATATTTATAAAAAAATATTCTTCTAGTATTACTAATAAATGATCAACTAATTCAACTTAAAAGAATACTTTAGAATTTAGTTAGTATATTGAAAAATTTTTCAAGAGTATAAACATCAATATAAAATATTAATAATAATCAAAGACGTTAAATATTAACAATAAAATAAATAGTAACTAAATAATTAAAATATTTAACTAGTTCAATAGTATTATATTATTATATAGTTAAATAATATTAATTACTTTATTATTAAGAGTATTTTTATCCTAAACTCCAGTTCAAGATGAAAATTATAAACTACAAGATTCAGGCAAATTAAACTAGACTTTTCTACTTTTTTAATTCCTAAATTAGTAAACTGATTACTTTTTGTAAAATGATTATCTGTTAAATGATCTTTTCAAAAAATCTGTTTGATATTTTTTTTATTACTTTTTTATGTTTGCAAAAAAAATTTCTTATTTAAATGAAATTAATAAAAAAGAAAAAAAAATAACTTTATTAAAGACATATTTGTAAAACATTTAAATTTCTGATACATTGACAATATTTTGTGATTCTGAGTAAGAAATAAGGTATGGTAGATTTGTTTTGTTATTATTTTATAGTTATAAGAAACATTTTTTAACATTAAATTATATTCTAGTAATGAACCTTATACTTCAAATATTGTAATAGAAAAAGGTATTTTTGAAGAGTAAGTTTTTATATGTATAACATTTATTTATTATAAATTTTCATAAATGATCAAAATTTTACAATAAATGATAATTAACTATTATCATCATGAATAAATATCATTAATATATAATCCAAAATTAATACTATTAAACATTATTTCATTTGCAACTTATAAAGAAATGTTCAAATAATTCTCTATAATAAGTCTAATGGCAATTTTAGAAACTAGAATTTGAGATAAATATTGAGATAAAGATTTCGAAGTATAAAGATCTTTGATCAATATTTCAGTTTGGATGAACATTTTAGTTAAAGTTTTCAAGATAACTTCTAAACCTTTAGGTTCATAATATTCAAGTTATAAAGTTAAATAGTTGATTAATCAATTGTAAGTTTAAATTATTAATTTATACTTACTTGTAAAGTTTTAAAATAATTAATTTGAATATAGTAAAAATTTTAAATAATAAATTTTAGTATCATTAATTAATTCGACTCAAAATTTAAAATAGAACAATTTATTATTTGTTGGAAATGTTTACTGTAGCGTAGCATTTTTTTAATCATCATTTACTCAAAATCAATTTCTTATCCTGTAAGGTGATTTTAATAACTTAGCTCCCATGTGGATTTATATCATTATTTATCAATATCATAATTTTCTCGTTATTTAACAGGTGGATTTTTTTTATTATTTTTCAATATCCTAATTTAACAAAATTAACATATGGATTTTTATCATTATTTATCTATATCGAAAATATTTTATGAATAATTATCAGTAATTGTCTAATTTTTTAATCATCGATATAAATGTAATTAATTTCTGTTTAACTGACAAGTTCGAGAATTGTGTCCGGGCTGATTGCAAGAGTACATTGTCTCACTCTTTGATCTACATCAGGAAATTTTTTCAGGGGTTATCATAGTTGCGAGGCAAAACCCTAAACCCATTTTGGCAAAAGTCGAAACTTTTCAGAAATTGTTTCGACAGTTTCGATGGGTTTCGACGGGTTTCGACAGTTTCGATGGGTTTTGATGGGTTTCGATGGTCTCGAAAGCTTCGACGATTTCTGACGTTTCGATAACAACTTTGCGAATTCTTAAAAAGGATGTGAATATACTATCTCACATAGACTAATGCATAGATCATTATATTGGATGATTGCTCCGAGAATAAAATTAAGACCTCGTGAAGAAGAATTTTTTTCTCTTCACTCCTCTTCCAATTTATCACATTTTAATATATCAAAAATTATAGTGTTAAGTTAAATAATTCCAAATAATGAAATTTTTTTTAATGCTTAACATGGCAATATAAAAATATGGGTATCATTTTTATTTTTTTTTTTTTTTAAAAAAAATAAATACAATTAAAATATTCCTTATAAACAATATTTCTAATACAAAATATTCCTTAAAGATTAAAAATTCTCACATATGTACTACAAATGAAAAAGCGAGTAATTTTGTTAACCGTTCGCCCATGAATGATGGAGATGAATATGGTTGTTCATCAAGAGGAATATCATTTAATAGAAGCTATGCTTCGTAGGCATACTTACGAAAAATTTTTATAAGTATAGTTATGACTCCATCATTCGTTAACCAATATGGTCTAAAAACTTTATATCGATGATATTGAGAGAATTCGAAGAATTCATTCAGAGTTAAAAATTTTGTTATATATTTCATGGTAACGACAAAATCGATTCTTCATCTTTCTATTGGTGGATTCAGTCAAAAAATTTGATGAATGATTTGACAAATATTATACACGACGAAGAAAAGAAACCGCTAAAACTCCTTTTGTTGAACTGACCACTCACAACAGGCTGATCCGTTAACACCGATAGCCATCGTCGAAACATTTGCCCCCGTCAAAACTTTTGCCAACCGTCGAAACTTTTGCCACCCGTCGAAACTTTCGCAATTTGCCTTTAATAAAAAAATTTCGATTTCGATGCCTGTCGAAACCTCGGGGTTTTGCCCGGCAACCTTAATATAAATTATAATGAGTATAACGAGAAAGAGATGGATAAAAAAGCAAATGAGGTGATGTATATTGAGTAAGTCCTCTATGTTCCTATTAAATCCTTTTGAAATCAAATTCAATGTTTAAATCTAACGATTAAAATCTCATTTTAGCGATTCTGATGTTTTTCCTGAAACAGATCCATCTTGTTACCATTCTCTATTCCAATGTTGGATGAAATGTATAAAATCAAATTGAAAGATATCGACGAGATGGATAGCGGTGAATCAAAAGTTTTGGTCAAAGAGGTGTTCAATAAGAGTATAAAGAAATCCTCAGTATGATCCATAATATTTATATGAAAAAACGAAGAGATTGTCCGCTTAATCATAAAACTGAAAATAAAATATTAGAGTTTAATAACGAAGATTGGTATTAAGGCCTTATATAACTCATTCATCCGTTCTTTTCCTTTGTATTCTTTTTTTTTTTATTTTTTATTAAAAAAAAAATTGATTCACTTACGATGATGTAATGTAATATTAAATTTACCTGAGGTGAAATCCATGAAAGAGTCGACGTTGATAGAAAACTTTGGAAATTTTTCTGTTCGGATATCCTTCCAGCGCAAATGATCCACTACAAGCTGGTATGCCATTTTGATTTGATTGTTTCTGACTCTTGTAATGCCTGATATATGAATGTATATAGTATTCCCATTATCTAATTTAAAATATTAATCGTCAATTTTATATTCTTAAATGAAAGTTCATCTCACAGAAAGTATAATAAATGAAACCTTTATCAAATGATGTACTTCGTTTTAGGAAGAGGTTTAAGGTAATTAGGTAACCTAATATTAGATTGTCTAAATTGGGAATAAAATATATTAATGAACAAATCAGATCGAATATAAATTATAACTTTTATCTACCTGATATCATGAATAGTTTGTTCTTTTATGGGATCAATGAAAAATATCGAAGACAAAAGATACTTGGTCTCGGGTGATAAAAATTGAAGGCAGCGTATAAATATCACCTAATATGCCGAAAAAATTATTCTACAATTTAAACCAGTGTTGGCATTTGGCCACGTCCAGGAGATTTTTTTTTGGCAATTTGGCTGTGGCCAAACAGCCAAATTTCGGTCAAAATTTTTTAGCCATTTGGCCGACCAAATTGGCCAAACGGCCAATGGCTAACCTCGGCAAGGACGGACACTGATTTAAACCGAATTCCAGAGTTCTTTGAAACAAAAGTAAATTAATATACCGTTAATTTTTTCATCGTCGCCCATGAAGCATAACGTACAAAATGACACTGCAGTTCCACACATCAACTTCGGGTCCTGCCAGAAATGACTTTTAGTGATGCGTAATTTGGACCGCAGTACATTTTCAAAAATTCTCAATCGATCATGATAAACGATAATCCATAATCCGCGATTTTTACATTTTGATAAGGATCCAAAAGAAGACTTTTCGAGATATATTGAAGAAAAAATAAATTAGCTCGCGTTTATAGAAACATTTTTTTACAAGTTTTTTTTTAAATTTTACTTTCAGGTTTTAAATCTCGGTGCAAACTTGTCTCGAAAATTTGCTGTAAGAATCTTCGAGAATCATCCGAGAGATAGTTTAAACGAATCCTTAAGGATCGATAAACAATTTATTCCTTCTAACGAAATAATACTATTAATCTGGTAAATCATTGAAAGATAAAGAAGATTATATGTATTTTTTTTTAAAAAAAAAAATAATATTTCCTCCAGTTTTTGATAGTCGAACACATTTTTCTTTTCTACCTGCGAAACAATTTATCCTTTATAAGCATTTTCTGATGTCAAGTTTCAGAGCTCAAGAGACGATTTATTAGAACGGTGTTGGCTTGGTATCTGTAAACTTAAACGATAAACTTTCAATTCAATCCGTTGAATTAAATACAAGACAATATCACAATCACGCCTATATGAAGACACGACAAAAGGCAATAGTAA